TCTATCTATCTATCTATCTATCTATCTATCTATCTATCTATCTATCTATTAATATATAGATATATTAATATTAATATAGAAATATATCTTCATATATTCAATTTACTTTAATAAATACCTGTTAAGAAATAATGACTTTATATTGTAATGTTGATATCTAAGATATATATGTATGTATATTTATATATGTTATACTAATAAATGAACTAAATGTGTTCTAATTTAGTTTATCTTGCAAACCAAGTATATCTTAATAAATATTAAGCATACTTAATAAATATTAATTTCTAATGCATTCAGTACAATGGTTTGAATCTATTAAATGCTCAACAAATATATGATGAGTTGAAACAAATAATAAATGTGTCAAAATTTTGCTGCCAAAGCCATCTAACAGCAAATAATCTATTAAATTTTACAAAGGATTATTCTCTTTCATTAATAATGAAATAATTTAATAATGTTAAATCATTAATGAATAGGTCAATAAATAAAAGCTACAGAGAAACCCTGTCTCGAAAAACAAAACAAAACAAAAAATAATAAAACGTAAAAAATTGATGACTTTTTTGTTAACATAAATATATTGATTCAGACCGTGGGGGAGGGTTAGAGTGGGAAAGGGAGCAGAGAAAAATGTAGAGCTCAATAAAAATCAATAAAAAAATATTGATTCAGTTACTCATAACATACTTTTATTGACTTTGACAGGTTCACAGAGTTGGTGAAGTAATTTATGAGAAAATTAAGATCAAGTTTCACTACCTTAGATTCTATCTTTTATTCATAAATTTATACATTTTTATTATTTTACATTTTCATATACATATAATTAATCTCAGTCATCTTTATCCTCATTTTTTCTATCATTTTCTGCCATTTCCAACTGGAACTCATCTTAGCAAGTACCTTCCTACTTCCATGACTTTGTGTGTGGTCCATTGAGTTTAGTAAGAGCATAGTGGGAGATTATTTAGTGGAGCAAGGAAAGCTTATGTGTTTGACATATAAATATGACACCAGTGACAAGGTAATATGACACCCTTCCCTAACAAGCATGAGCCTGCCCCCATCCATCCTGATATGTTTCATCCTGTGCAGATAGCCTCAGCTAGAAAGAGTTCATGAGCGCGACTGATGAGTCCTTTGAAAACACTTCTTCCTACTGTCTATCTTTCCTAAACTCAACTCATATATTCTCTATGTCCCCTCTTCCGCCATGTTCTCTTAGTTACAGGGCAGGAATGTGAGTGATATAGCCATTTCATGTATGGCCAAACATCCCACCATCACTTATATACCACACTTGGGTCACTTGTAGGTTTCTGCAGTCACCAGTATCCACTGTCGTAAGAAACTTTTCTGAGTACAAGTTCTAATCTATGGTATGAAGAGAAGTAGTAAGAAGGTAGCTTGATAATATGACCCTTGAGTAGAACAGCAGTTAACTCGTTGCCACCTGTAGCTAGAGACCTCCTAAAACAGAGACTCTTACCCAGGGTTAGAGAACCAAGCATAAGCTCCCTGCTGTGGAGATAGTTACCCACGTAAGAAGCATACTATCGCTGCACCAGGGGGCACATTTTACAAAGATACATGGTTATTGTAGCTTATAAGAGTCAAAGCTGGGTAAGACTGATGATGCTTCTTCCCTAGCAGTTTGTGTACTGTCCACCTCTGGCATTATTAAAGCCAGCCAGTAGGGAGGAAGCTTGCAGCTCAGGTCCATGTCTTGTGACAGTAGTATGTATACAGTATTTTCAGCAGCAGAGTCTTTCCATCAAATTCTGGAGGGTAACCAAGAGCATTGCTAAAAGCCTGCGGTTTGGGGGAACCTCTGAGATCTCCCTGGTCAGTTACTCATAGGCAAGTGTCCCATACCCAGCACCGGAACTTTGATTATTGATGGCTTTTGAGAAGAGCATCATCTGTGAAGGATACCACTATTTAAACTTTTTAAGGATCTTTTTGTTTGTTTGTTTTTTTAGTTTAAAACTTTATTCTTAAACAGTCACTGGTGGTGCACACCTTTAATTTTAGCTCTCAAGAGGCAGAAGCAAATGGATCTCTGAGTTCAAGGCCAGCCTGGTCTACAGAACAAGTTCCAGGACAGCCAGGGCTCCACAGAAAAACCTTGTCTCAAAAGACCAAAACAAAACAAAAGCTCTTTATTCTTAGACCTGTACAATAGTGATACTCAGACTATAAATTTAAACTCATACATACATACACATATTTATATTTATACATGTGCAGCTATTATTAATTTCTCAAGGCATGACATACAATAAAGTCAAGACAAGCAAGCATTAATAATAATGTTTACAAATCTCTATATTAAATCATCCTGATAATTGCTATTTGGGAACACACTCCATTATCTCATGGCGTAGCATGTGATTCCTTGCATTATGTCTGACGGAGACAGATCATGAGTCTCTGCCAATGTATTTTTATGCTTATTAGATTGTACTCTTGCAAACAGTATCCTCACCTGACAGTCCCATGTGGAACTACATTCTGCTAAAGCTAGTGTAGTTAAAACTGGGTAATAACTATTCTGAAGCCATTCAACAGAGTGAATGCCTCTGCTACCCAAAGCAGAGGGAAGGTGGCTTTCTACTTTACTGCTTTTGTGAATGCTCACACCTCACTTAGGACACTGTACAACCCTCAGCTGTCCTATGAACCTGGCTTCTGACATGCTATCTTTAATAAAGTCTTAAGATTGTCTTTTTAAAGGTAATCTTATAAAACAGGTTTTTCATGTGGCTTTTTCATTTATCCTTACTGTTGGTTGCCCTCTCTCCTCCCCTTGGTCTGTCCTATCTTCCCACCCGAGTCCCTTCAGAGATGGCTCTGTCCTCATTACCTCTCAGCCCTGGCCTCCATTTCATGCCTGGTGTATAATATTATCCTGCCTTCCTCTCTCTAATGCCTCACTCTTATCCTTCTTTTTTATACCAATGTATTGTTGTGCTTACTATTCTAAAAGTTCACAGTTGAGATCCTCACATAGGAAGAACTGATAGCATTTGTCCTTTTGGGTCTGGCTTACTTGACTCAGGATAGTATTTGTTTCCATTCTAAAAAACAATGTAAAAAAAAAAAAGCCCCTAAAACTCAGACAAAATGATTTTTAAAAAAGACTCAAGCTTACATATTACAAATGGATATTTAAATACAGTATCATTCTATTGTCAAAGTCAAAAAGTTAATATAAGAACTTTTTAATATAAAAACATATTTCAATGTAATATTTGCTTTTCAGTTGAATAGACATAAAGCTGAGAAGGTATGAACCTAATGAATATGAAACAAGGCTGATCATCCAGTTAAAGTATATATAAAGTCCTCCACTTTACTAATGTGTTACCTATGAATATATTTTACTTTTGTTTGTTGATATCACCTAACTTCTTTTTTTTTTTTTAGACTTTAAAGCTGTCAAGCCGTGTTCTTGATAAAATAAGTATTGGACAACTTGTTAGTCTTCTTTCCAACAACCTGAACAAATTTGATGAAGTATGTACCCACTGATTAAATGTTTTATGCATTTTATTAGAAATCAAACAACCCTAAAGAAAGATTTATCTACACCAAATAAAAGTGCTAAGTAGTCAAGTCCCTCCCATTCTTAGTTCCGCTATTTCTGGAAGCTGGGAAGGCTAGAGCACCCATTCTGAGGTCAAGTAAAATTGCCCAACTCAAACATACCCCAGCTTGCCCTTAATAAGGTTTTTCAAAACTTAATCCTTATCAGACTTTGCTTCCTTTTAATATAATACTTTAAATTGTTATTTACTTTGGCTATATACAATACTTTGGGCAGTTCTTGTTCTGTGCTGTCTTATGTCACAAATAAATTCAAGGTCTTTGAGGACAGATACTGTGTTTTATCTTTTCATTTCTAGTATTTAATTTAACAAAAGTTAAATAAATTACTGTTAAATTGAGTACCAGATGTTGAACTATATAGGTGTGTGTGTGTGTGTGTGTGTGTGTGTACTGAGTCTCTGAGGCGACCCTCTTGTTCTCAGTTGGTCTAATGTGAGGACACTAGCTTTATTTTTAAAAGATATTAATTAAAATCTGGGCACAGTTCCTAGGATATCTAGTTCCATTCCACTCGGGGGTGGGGAGTGACTTGAATTTTTTACCTTGAGGAATCTGGTTTATGCATTGATTAAGCCCAGTACTATGCTTTCATACTAAAGGACATCTACAATTTAATGTGCTCAGTACCATGAGTTCCTTGAGTGGACAAATTCTCAGCACTCTTCCCTTCCCCCAACATGTGTTTCTTTTTTTTTTGTTTTTTGAGGGTGAAGTGTAGCATGTCAGTTGCTTTTCTCTGTGCTTTTATTTTTCAGGGACTTGCCTTGGCACATTTTGTATGGATCGCTCCTTTACAAGTAGCTCTCCTGATGGGACTTCTCTGGGAATTGTTACAATTCTCTGCTTTCTGTGGCCTTGGTTTACTGATAATACTTGTCATTCTTCAGGCTGTTTTAGGGAAGATGATGGTGAAGTACAGGTAGTGATCTTTGTCACAGCTTGAAGGAATTTAAATTGGGCTTCTCTGAAAAAAAAAAAAGTTGGGCTTCTCTGTGCCTGGACCAGAGAACTATGGGATATCACTAAAAAGGGGTGGTTTTAGTGGTATAAATAATACATCATATACCAAAAGGGTATTTTTCCCCTATTGGTCTACAGAATTTTCTTATAAAAGTTTTAAGGTTTTGAACATTTTTATACTCATAAAATTTAGGTAAAGTGGTTATAGTATTTATATGACCTGGAAGGAATGCCTAAATTTTGTATGGAACTTATTGGCTTTTCCTACCCCATATTGTATGTCATTCTACCAAAACTTTTATTTTATTACGGAATGAATCTGTGGTGTGAGTCATAATACATGTTTAAGACAGAGAACATATAGAGTTTGCCAGATGAAATGTCATAGAAAGCTGAAATCTGGGGACTCAGGTCTTTTTTTTTTTTAACATTTATATATTTCATTTGTTTCACAAAATAGAAATTATCACCTCTTTGATAAGGATTAGATAAATGACAAAGTCCAAAATTCATCTAATGGTGGTTGTCTGACATTCAGAGGCATCTATTAAATGATAGAATTACTTTTGTTACCATCTGTTTAATAACAAAATGCTTATCTATATAATGGAAGAAATATGAATTTCCTTAAAATTTTGAGTAGTAATTAGTAAATAATTTGACTTCTTTTTGTTATTGATTGGTTGATCAAGTGATTGGTTTACAGAGATCAGAGAGCCGCAAAGATCAATGAAAGACTTGTGATCACATCAGAAATTATTGATAATATCCATTCTGTTAAGGCATATTGTTGGGAATCTGCGATGGAAAAGATAATTGAAAACCTGAGAGAGTAAGTTGATATTGTTACAATTTTATACTTAACGTTTAAAAATGACTACTCTGATCGAATTCAAACTTATGTTCTAAGCTATACTATTGTTTATATATCAGTTGCATAAAGTCACTTTGATGAGTTAATGTTTTGTTTTGTTTTTGAGACAGGGTCTCACTATGTAGGTTTTTCTAGCCTAGATCTCAGTATGTATCTAGACCAGGATGGTCTAGAACTTTAAGGCATGTGCCACCATGCCAGGCTCTGGTTTATGGTTTTACATAGTTAATCCAGTAGTTCATTTGCACTGTGAGAATTTGTATCCCTTCTGAATGAGTCTTCTGTAGTTTATAATTGTTTAATACCCTTAATTGAATTAAAACAATGACAAAGACATTGGGGACTAATTGAGATCATAAATGGAACTGTTAAAATAAATAGTTCTGAGAGAAAAGGGAGATGCTGTATGACACTGAATTACATACATTTGGGCAAATCGTACCTGTTATTCTGAACCTTAGGAATAATGACAAAGGAATTTTCCTCAGTGTTGCCCGTGTAAATTGCTCACAGGAGGTGAAATCAGTCCCTGTACCCAAAGCCATCTCCTGAAATGGAGTCAGTACTTGGCGCCTGTATGTGTTGTCTTCTTTCATCTCAGATAACCTTTCACAGATTAGTAAAGATTATGTCTGGCAAAAAAAATAAGAGTACAGCACAGAAAAAAAAATAGTACACTACAGACTGAGATGTAATTACATTATATCTGGCAAAAAAGTAGAGTACAGCAAAGACTGTGATGTAATTACTGAGATAATTTTGAGTAAAAGAAAATTGAGCATTGGTAAAGCCATATAACTGATTTTCTTTAGTTGGCTTCTCTGTCCTCTGGACTACAATCAAGGAAAACTTTTAGACTTCTGGGATAGATGCATCATTAAGGAGACTACTGATTTAAAGAGTAGGACATTTTTAACTATTTCACAGGGGAAAAAGTGCTCTTTTCATTGGTGTGAATTTGGGCTGTTTTATATTCAGGCTGCATAGACCCATAGACAATGCTAACTGAGCCTCAGGTGTGTGATTGGAATAACAAAGAAAATGCTGAAATGTTAAGTCCTTTGCCATGTAAATAGAAAGAGCAAAAGAGTAGTTATTTCCCAAACATTATTGGTCACCTGTTTCTGTTATGCCTTTCAAGATAAATCCAGGAAGACATTGCATTTTCTTTCCAGAAACAACCTCAAAGATCTTCAGTTCAGTTGAGGAGAGTTGTTTTTCACATTAACAAGTTGAGTGCTCCACAGCACTCTGCCTGTAAACACAGTCATGGCAAGGGGTGTGCGGTCATCAGAGGATCCAGTTTCTCAGCCTTCCTGATAAGCTCACAGACAAGTTGTTCTTGTGGCTGACTTTTTCTGACATTGATATTTTACCCATCTCTTCCTCAAAAGATGAAATCCATCTTTCCTACTCTGTTTTGGTTTGGCTAATTTTGATAGCATTTGTCTGGTTGTAACCTGTCTGATACAGCATGAAATTGTTACCTGAAAAAGCTGAAAAGTGCTTCCATAAAAGGGAAAGTAAAAATTGCTATTTCTCAGCAGAGCAAATACAGTGTTCTAGGGGAGACTGATGGGATGCTTTTCTGAAGGATGATTACCTCACCCTGAGCCACTGTTGAACTGGGCCAAAGGCTCTGCAAATCTCCTTGAAAAAAAAAATGCCTTTTATCACTCTTCAGTAATAAAGGGACTGTAATTTTTTTTATAAGAAACTGATAGAATATTTTAATAACTCATAAAATGTTAGGGACTTTATAATAGTTTCTCGATGGTTCTGGTTTTTGCAGATCTATTTTTTCCCTATATGACCTCTCTTTCCAACTGTGTCAACTGTCTAATATATTTGAATAACTTTGACACCTTGATATCATTTTTAAACAATTCTATCATTTTATAAATACCAACCTCATCAATATTTATCCCCAAAAGAAAAGTGCTACAGATTGCATTCTATTAGATTTTCTGCTATGTTATCACCTAAGCTTAACCACATCTCTACAAGGGAAATATTATGTTTATCTTTAGTGATGGAATCATGAGGAAATAGTGACTTCTTTTAGATGACATAGGTAAAACAGGCAGACCTCAAACCATAACCCACCTTCAATAACAAATTTACTGAAAGATAAAACACTGCACCTAATTAGCCTGATCATAATGTAGGTTATGCACATGACCTCTATCAGTAAGCTCAGTATTGCATTGTTTTCTTTGAAGACTTAAAAAATATTTCTTTTTAGTTCTACCACATGAGAGTGACAGTTGTTTCTTTGAATTCAAGGTATGTGCAAGTGTAGTGTCTGCATCTCAGGTACCCTACTGCAGCAGACCATCTCCGCTATCGCTCCTTTAGGAGAGAGCTTTCCTTTTGTGTTTAGCACTGGCCTTTGGCTGTACTGGTTGCAGATGATCACAAGGGTCTTGAAGCTTTCTGGCTTCAGGAGTGCGGAGGAGCAAGAGTGGGATTGAGGTTGAGGGGAATAGTGTTCTCCGCTCTCGTGACATCCCCGTTAAATCATTTAACCCCTTCCTGTGTGTCTTAAAAAATAATAGTTCACAGTTGGAGTTCAGACTCCAACCTGTACCTATAGTGAGGCTTGACTGCAGGTAATTACACTGAAGAGGGAGGGTTTGAAGACACACCTACAATACAATGACTTGGCTTCTTTGACTGCAGAGTACCTTCTGGTAAGCTAGTGCAGTACCTCAACATCAGTAGATATGGCTCGGAGAAGAGAATGCCCAGTAACACATTTCTTGGCTGTCTTGTATCCATGTTAACCTCTAAGAACCTCTCCTCACACCATTGCCAATGCTATTTAAAAGCAAGCTAGAGTCTGGAAAATGTTAAGAATCTGTTGGATAACCACAAAATAATCATTTTTGTTAATAAAGTTTGTAATATTGTTTTCTCTTCCACACATCATTTCATGTTTTAATAATGAAATCTCTAAAGATATAAAATTGAAATATATTTAGATAATACAATTTAAATTAATTTTAATAATTTAAAATTTTCATTATGATAGTAATTAAAGTTCTTAATTGTTTTATAGCAATATTAACAAGTATTCTGTAAAACACATGGTATATTCATTCACAATCACATAAGCTAATTAAGAGAGATTCTATAACTTGCCCAAACTATAGACTGGATGTTCAGATTTTATATTCTATGACACCTGACATTTAAAAAGAAAATAACATCTCATATCTTCTCTTTTCCACAGGGTGGAACTGAAACTGACCCGGAAGGCAGCCTATCTGAGGTTCTTCACCAGCTCTGCCTTCTTCTTTTCAGGGTTTCTTGTAGTCTTTTTATCTGTGTATCCCTATACAGTCATCAACGGAATCATCCTCCGAAAAATATTCACAACCATTTCATTCTGCATTGTCCTGCGTATGTCAGTCACACGGCAGTTCCCCACTGCCGTACATACATGGTATGATTCTATTGGAATGATAACAAAAGTACAGGTAATTTCCATAACTGCATTCTTATATGATTCTGAAGCTTTTTAAAATTTGTATAGTGGGAGAACTCCCTAAATGATTTCTTTTTTGGTTTTGGATTTATGAATGGTTAGGATTTCCTCTCCTCATTTTCATACAGGGTCTCATGAATCCTAACAATGAAAGTTTAATGAAATGAAATCTCACCCAAATAATCTGTGAATAGATAAATTCTAGGCAGCTTGTAAATATCCAAAAACATTGAAAAATAAACTTCATGAGGAAGTTATAAAATGTTTCAGCTAACTCTGGAATGCCCCTCTTAAACTTCTCTAGCCTTTTTCTGGATGGTATGAGATATGAAAATGGTGTTTTGTGTTACATTAATTACTGCAGGATGCCAAAGTAGCTTCTAGTGTTAAGATGTTCTAAAGTTTTGAGGTGATAAGTAGTTTATTCAGAGCAAATTGAGTAAACTTACAAGAATAATGTATCATTATACTTTAATATATTCGTTTAAATATTTACACAAAAATTAATCATTATGACAAATAGATGGGGTAGAGGGTGAGCTGGTTTAAATTGTGGAGGGTGAGCTGGTTTAAGTGGCCCTCCATTGTTTACCTACGTCTGTTGTTGCAGATGGTGGCAGCGCGTTATTTTAGCTTCTATATCTGTTTTATTTGTCTTTGAAATTTTGAATTAGTTGCTAGTAACTAGAAATAGAGAGATATCATGTGTACCCTCGTACACAGGCATACGTGTGTATACATATGATGTACTGAGTGTCTTCTGACAAATTGAGATTTTTCTAGTAATTTGGGTCCCCATAGCTGTAGCAGCTGCCACTCAAGGGTGTCTCCCCTGTCTGGCTTATCACACTCTCTTTCAGCCCATTCTTTCCACCTGTTGCACCCCAAGACTAAATGAACTCGAGTTACGTGATTAGACAACATGTGAGTGGCACTTAGGATCATAGTGGCTCTGTGGTTAACCTTATTTCTCTGCTGATGTCATTGTAGTTGGGTGGAAGAATGAGAGAAGAAAGAGGGAGGGCAGAAAGATAAGTGAGAATAAAACTGCATAGTAACAGAAAAAACATCTGAAAAAATATGGAAGTAAATGAGACAAACAAAAGAGGAAAAGAGGAGGGAAGGAGGAAAGAAAGAAGAGGCCAGGCAGGACTAGTAAAGACTTCCTGGTGCACAGATTTAATTACTATGCTACATCTTCCCTAGTAAGAATGTAGTCTGGAGTCTCTGATGAAGCCCTTTCTTAAAAGTAGTTATATGAAGTTCTTATACGGTCCCTTTATCTAGAGAAGCAATGATAGTTGCTTATAAAGTTGTGTTAAAAAACACAATTTGTGGTTCTCCTTTGTACTAAGCTTGAACTGAGACATGAGTGAGTAATTTTTAGGGTTTCATTAGAAATTAATATTCCATATAATAGTAAAATAAAGAAGCAACTATGTACTAATATCTAATATATAATTTCATAAGCTAATATAACTAATAACTGATAATAATATAACTAATAACTAATTTCATAAGCTAATATATTTAAAGAGTATATTTCCACTGAGATGAGTCCTGCTGCTTAATGCATTAACTTTAGGACAATTATAAAGTTATAATTTAAGACACTGTAATGTTAGAGTGTATGAAGATAGAGCAATGCATCCTTGTTATTCCAATTCTATGATTAAAAGCTCTTACTCTCTTTATTGGCTAGGATTTCCTCCAATATCAAGAATATAAGATGCTGGAGTATAACTTAATGACCACAGATGTGGTCATGGAGAATGTAACAGCATTCTGGGAGGAGGTGAGAATTCCTAAACATTGTGATTTTTTAATACATAAAAATTGAACCTTTTCCTTTTTATATATCTAAATTTCTACTCAATAAAACATATCATTCAAATGATACTATAACTGTTAGAGCTACGAGAAGGGGGGTGTTCTGTCTTATAGAGTGAAAAGTGGGAAACCAGACATTAAATGCAATATAAAAGCCTCTGTTTCTTTAAAGTCATGTAATTGATTTCATCTAACAAGCCAGAAAGATGATAGGATTCAATACTAGAGTTGAATCTTCTCTCTGCAATTCATTTTCCATGTAGTCCAAATTATATTACTTTCAAGTTGTAAAGCAGCTAGTGTCTTCATTTATAAAATGAAGATACAATCTTCCTAATAATAAAATGATTTACATGGATTGTTTATTAGCTTACTTTTCATGTAGTGGTTTCTCAGTGAATATTAAGTTCTCTGATCATGACTTCTAAGGCTCCCCTGCCTGTCACTATTGATGACCCATTGAGTCCCCATGAGCAGCTTCCAGCATTTTACTCTCTCTGTGGTGTGAGTGACTTTACCTAGGCTCAACGTTAGTGAACTGATGATGTGCAAATGCAAATCTCTGGTCCTAGTTTCAATCCTGAATTCTATGCCTGCTCTTCCAGTGTCTTGCACTCTCCTTATGCACTTCATATTCACCACTCCTCAAGCTTTACTGTCTCACTTGGTCCAGCACATTCACCATCTTTTTTGATGGCAACACCTGAGAGGCAGGTCTAGAGTGGGGTGCATAGCATTCTTTATTAGATAAAATTTATACTTACATTTTAGTCAATTGGGGCTTGAGGCCTTTAAGTAAAGAGGTTGCTCAAATACACACAATAGAGCTAAAATATCAATCAGTCTTGGTTTCTCATACCCCAGAGCTTTTTCCAAGTCACCATACCACATATTGCTACTTATTTAAGGGTATAAATGAAGGGATAGAGGTATAACTCAGTAGCAGAGTACTTGCCTAGTGTGGACAATGGCCAGGACTGAAAAACGGAAAGATGGAAAGTAGAAGGAGGAAGAGGAGAAAATGGAAACTGTTGTTTTAATGACTAAAATGTATTTCCTATGTGTTACTCCATTAGTGCCCTCAACACTGACTTACAAGGCTGGAGAAATTTTACTTACTATTTGGTCCACTTACAAGAGTTTTTCTTAAGTAACAAGAGCAAAACCATGCCCCTCTGTATTTCTATCACAGTGTTATTGATTAAAAGTTAAAACCATCTAGTAGAAAACTTTTTAGAATTTGTACATTATAATATTGTCTTTCAATTAAACTTAAGAGTGCTTAATGAATGTGAAAATAATTGTAAGTAAATATCAAGAAAAAGCAGATCACACATTTAACAGTGTTTATGAAAGTTGGATCTCATCTTGTGGATTAGACTTTAAGTCCAATCAGAAAGTGGTTGGTTACTAGCTTAACAGTTGTGTGACTATTGTGCTAACAGGCATGCCAGTAAGATTGATACTTGCTTTTCTCCTTTGGTAGTTTTCATAACACTTGCAACACAATGAAAACTGTTCAGTAGTGATGAAGCATCCAGGTGAATCCCAGTTGTATTTCTCCATGTTCTATTAAATGTATGGTATCTTTAGGAATAGGGTCTTACTATCAAGCTCTGAACCATAAGAGGGAGTAAGAGGATGGATAGAGACACAGGAAGTAGAAGTCAGGGACAGTGAGTTTGAGCGTCTTGTTTGAAACTGTAGGATAAATCGGGCTTCAGGGTGTCAGCTGAGAAGAAAGGACAGCTGGTGGTGCTCTGTACATGTCTGAGCTTGCGGGCTTTCACCCCAGCATCTGGTGCCTGTCTCTTTATTGATGAAATTGGATGGTTAAGATTTTGTTAAAAATAAACCTAACACTGTTTTGTTTTGTTTTAATTTGTTATCCTTTGATGTCTAGTTGGGACATTATTTAATTTTTAATTTTAATTACTTGATTTTAATCATTTAATTTTAATTATTTTAATTATTTAATTTTCTTCTCTTTAAAAATATAGTGTTTTTATTAATTTAATTAAATTATTAAATTTATTTTATTAATAAATTAAACTAATTTAATTAATAAAAACATAGTGCTTTTATTAATTAAATTAAAATTTTAATTATTTAATTTTCTTCTCTTTAAAAATATAGTGCTTTTATTAATTTTGAGAAATTCATACTTATATAATATATTTTTTATTACATTTACCTTCCACTCTTCCTCTTAACTCCTTCTAATCAAATTTCCAGTGTTGGATTTTAGAAGTAGTTTTTAATGCAGAAGTACTATTTTTGAAATGTGTGGGATCCCTACATTTGACATCTAGGTGAAATTACATTGTTACTTCTTTCAGTATCTTTTACCTTTTCTTTTATGGGTCTCTCTTGTTTCCAGACATCGTAATTCCTTTTGGTGCCATTGTTTGGGTCTCAAGTGATTTTTCACGTTCTGGAGAGCACATAATTAAGATGGGCATCAAAGCAGGGAGGCCATTGTTTGCTGTGAAGTGAGGAAAGAACAACTGGGAGGGCCCATTGCATTCTAAGAAGTAGCAGACAATGAATTCTCAGGCAGGTTAACTTTAGGAAAAAGTATCTTAAGATGATGAGAGCCTAAAAATAGATTCCCTTAAAACTTGGCACACAGGTTTCTTTATGACCACCATTTAGTGCTGTTTATTTTGCTTTGAAGACAGTATCTCAGAACTTCCGTGGGGCAATGGAAGAGGCAAGCCATTTTCAAAAGGGGATTCCTTTCTACTGCACACATGCTCTTGTACAGATCAATTTCTTTGAAGCCTCTAGCAACTTCATCATATTTGTAGCCAGTGATAATCAATAAATGTTTTGCAAACATCTTAGAGGAAATAACTAGCAGTGTGAAATAACAGAAGTCAGGTTTGCATTATAATTCCACTCAGAACTACTTGTTTGTGCCTGATCATTATCCATTCTGAGTAGGAGTCCACAGTTTTAAAAGAGGAAAATTGTGAAACCTGCCTCATATATTAGGATAAATTAGTGATATTACCAGATCTGCAGGAAAGGGGTTTGTGTATATACTCTTCTTTCCTATAGTTTTGGTCCACACACACACGTGCGCACATGCATGTACACACACCTTAGCCTTCAATGGTATAAAATTAATGTAATGATAAGCAAAAGTCTGATAAAGGGAAATTGTTTTCTCATTGAATGTATATCCACTTCTCAAATATTTTGAACCATGCTCTCTATAATACCATGTGCTTTATAATCATAGATTATAAATTAATTTAATAATGCATATGTCTTGTAATGGATTATGTATCATATGTTTCTCAAACTGATTGCACATAAAGGTATCTATTGAAAATATCTGAAAACGTTTTTCTTTGTTTTGTTTTTGCTGTGACTAAATAGGGATTTGGAGAATTATTGGAGAAAGTACAACTAAACAATGGTGACAGAAAACTTTCCAATGGTGATAGCAACCTCAGTTTTAGTCATTTATGTTTTCTGGGAAATCCTGTGTTGAAAAACATCAATTTTAAGGTAGAAAAAGGAGAGATGTTGGCTATTACTGGATCTACTGGAGCGGGAAAGGTACTGTCTCCTTAATTTTTTTGAGAAATTCATACATGAGTACTGTATTTAAATAATTCCCATTTCCTTAACCTATTTCTAACACCCTTACTTGCATTCCAATTCATAACATCTGTTTTGGTTATTGTTATATATAATGTACTGGATCCATTTTGTGTTTCTTTTTTAATATTTTTAAATAATTTATTTTTATTCTATGTGCATTGATGTGTTGTCTATGTGAGGGTGTCGGATCCCCTAAAGGTAGAATTACAGGAAGCTGTAAACTGCCTTGTGGGTGCTGGGAATTGAACCCAGGCCCTCTAGAAGAGCTAGTGTTCTTAACTGCCATCTCTCCAGCTCATATTTCGTGTTTCTTATATGCACATGTATTTAGAGCTGATCACTTGGGATTGGATGACATATCAAGGAGATCATTTTTGAAGAAAATTTACTCTGCTTCCCAACCACTTTTGTTCATCTGTAATTGTTAATCCAGGGCAGTAGTTCTCAACCTGTGGGTTGCAATGCCTCTGGGGTTTTCTAAAGGATCACAGCATTAGGAAGGTTGAGAACCACTGCTTTAAGGATGGGACCTTGTGAGATTTCCTTCATCTATGTTGTCATGCCAACTAGTGATGTCATCCTGTAGGACTTGATTAGGTAACGATATTTTGGATATTTCATAGGTGTAATGTGTCATGTCTAAAAGATACTTTGTAGAAGCACACATTCCTGTTCTCTGACTCTTATGATCTTTTGTCCCCTTCTTCCACAGTTTGCCCTGAGCCTTTAGTATAGAGGTTGCATTATAGATATATCAATTGGGGCTGAGTAACCCATAGTCAGTTATTGTCTGCATTTTGATTAGTTGTAGATCTCTGTAATAGTTTCCATCCATTGTGAAAACATGTGACTTTGACAAGAGGTGTGAACTACATTTACCTGTGGCTATTAGCCGAAAGTACTTAGAATCCAGTTAGAAATCATTTTAGCTTACAAATATGGCAGTAGTACGATTTCCTGTAATATTTATACATCTCAATTTGTTGAGTCTTGCTTATTATATATTATGAAAATATGTCGAGTGAAAAGATGTTTAAAAAAATACTGTTTAGCAGTTGCAAGAACAACCTACTATGTTTATATTAACTTAGGGCCTTTGAAGAGACAGCTCGCAAAATCAAATCTGCTAGAAGGAAAGACTTCCCCAAGATCTTGATATTGATAGATACTCGTTCTTTAGTGATTAGAGAGATAGCACATTGAAGGACCAAAGGGATGAAGTTGGAGATGAGTACATGCTCCATGAGCTTGGGTAAAAAAGCTCTTGCTGTGGAGACCTACGCAGTAGATTCTTGTTTAGTCAGAGTGTTGTTTAGGTAAAGTGCCCTTCAGTAATACAAAAATGTGTTCATTAATCCCTTAAATTCTATTCCAGAACATAGGAGGAAGGAATGGGAGCAGAGAGGAGGGAGGAAAACAGAGGAAGAAGAGAAGGAAGAAAGAATGGGGCTGTTATAAAACAGAAATGAAAATTAAAGATTCAGAAAGGGAGTTTGTTTCTATTTTATGTTAATCTCTTAAACATAAATTCTTTATTATGAAGAGTTTTATCTGAGATTTTGGAAATAAAATGCCACAGAAATTTTCTAATTATTGTATACCTTGCTATCTTTCTCTCCATTTTTTTCCCCATATGTGACATGGCCCTTTTAAATAAATCTTTTCAGTATTTAAAGAAAACAATACCACAGGAGTCTATGTAGCTGATGCTCTTGACTACACAGATGCCCTACACCAGACTATCTGCCTGGGAGAGTATTGCTGTGCTATGTAGAATTTTAAAAATGAATTGTCTACTACCTGAGATATGTGTAAGAATAGCTTTGGAATTGCAGATTTGTTGAACTTAGCCATAATTAACTCTCAGGCAAGCCTATGAAAAACTGAAGACTAATTTTCCTCTGGGACGGCTCTTCCCTCTCACGGAAAGCTGCTGTGAGGAGAGGAAGATCTGGGCTCACTCCTTATCAAGAGTCTCACAACTTGGGCAAGGGGACTGCTGCTTGATGATAATAGGAAGGAAAAGGGGGCTAGCAACAACCTAATTTTTATAATTAAAACATAAATATTTAAAGTTAATTTTATACTTTTCTATTTGATGGTTTACTACTTAAACCTTAAAGATAACCTAGTAATCTATCTACTTGTATGCTATGCCCTTATAGATGCACAGAGATTTGATATAGCTATCTTCAGAGCAGTATGAATATGTATTGAAGCTCTCTAGTCTTTGGTTATAGAAAGTTTTCTAAGATGTAGTTAAGTGAAAAAGGAAAAACTTATTTTTTTGTGGAATGCTACATAAAACTCCTCCTCCAAGAATATTAAGAAATAACTATAATATGATTTTTAGGAAAGTTTATATTTTTCTACTGGTTACATTTATAATAGTTATGTACTTCATATTTCATTTTTGTGCACTTAGTTTACTCATAATGAATGAAATAATGAAGGTAAAATTAGTGTTTTTCCTTCCCCTACTACCAGTTTTTCTTTATAGTACACACACACACACACACACACACACACACACACACAGTAGACTAAGAATACTTTCTTTGTCAGCACAGAGAGATCTGAGTTTGAATCCCATACTTCCATATTAATTATTTTTAACCTGGGCATAGGAGCATCTGTATTGAGAGGCTGAGGCAGTTGGGTCCTAAGAGCTCCCTGGCAACTAGCATAGCTGAAACTGCATGCTTCAGTTCAGTGAGGAATCTTGCCTCAAGGCAACAAGGAGACAAGACGTGGAAAATAGTCAACATAACCGGTTCTGGCCCCTACATGCACACAGAAGGATGAGGGCGCCTACATATTCATGTTTATGTAGCTCACATATATACTGCGAGTGCATGAGCAAGTGTGTGTATGCACACACACACACACACACACACATACACACAATTCTTTGACCTCCAGATTTTCTTAAGTGATAACATCCCCTCACCACATCCTGCCCTATTGCTTGTTTTATGTATACTTGGTTTTTTTTCTTAGAACTTCTTTTGTGAGTCTATGTAGCATATTTAAGTTATTATCTTCAACTTTTTTATTTTTATGGTTATATTAAAGTGGCACAAAAAAACTTTTCAAAAATAATTTTAGATGCATATATTGTTAGCATTTATTAAAGATGAAAGCAAATTCTCATATTAAGATGGAAATACTTTCTTATTTTGTGTGAGTAATGTCAATAAGCCTTTGTTTAATGATACTTCTTTTAGTTTATTTATTTTTTTATTTTTCTTTTTTTTTGTTTTGTTTTTGTTTTTTGAGACAGGATTTCTCTGTAGCTTTGAAGCTTGTCATGGAACTAGTTCTTGTAGGCCAGGCTGGTTTCGAACTCACAGAGATGCACCTGCTTATGCCTACTGAGTGCAGGGATTACCACCTGGCCTTTTAGTTTATTTCTCAGGTTAGCCTCAAGAAAGGCTAGCTAAATATGCTTTTTTTCTTTCAATCTAATCTCCATTTAAAAGAGGAAAATAGAACTGGATCTGTGTTAGTTTACTGTGACGAATAAGTATGCTCATATAGTTAGAGCATACAGGCAGCTCCTGGCCGTGCATGCCCAGCAAATGTTCATTGTTGCCAATCTCCATACCTGCAAACCTATCCCAGTAAACTTAAGGAGGGGCTCATTCTTCTTTGAGATCCTCGATCAAGAATGTAGCACTTGTTACTCTCACTCTGTGGTGCCATTGTCTTTCGTTCCCTTTGTAATTTTTGTGCCTGAAAAAGCCCCTGGATCACAAAGTACTGAAACATCTTTAATCAAATGAGTTCATAGACCTTTTAAACATTGGGAGACTTCAGATTAGAATAATTGGAGGCAAGGGGAAGCTAAGTAATTTGATCAAACAACTTAGGGAATGATATTTCTTTGTAGACATCACTCCTGATGATGATTTTGGGAGAACTGGAAGCTTCAGAGGGAAAAATTAAGCACAGTGGAAGAATTTCATTCTGTTCTCAATTTTCATGGATTATGCCGGGTACTATCAAGGACAATATCATCTTTGGTGTTTCCTATGATGAGTACAGATATAAGAGCATCATCAAAGCTTGTCAACTGCAGGAGGTAAGCAAGTCCATGAAGAAATGCTGACTGTAGTAGTCACTTGTCTCATTGTTGTGATGAAATCCTTTGACAATGCAACTTGGGGAAGAAAGAGTTTGTTTCAGCTTGCACTATTCCCGGCAGATATGGCCCAGTATGGCCCAGGAATGGCAGGAACAGAAGAATGACTAGTCACGTTCTCTCCATATTCAGGAAGCAGACAGAAAACAGGAAGTAGGGTCTAGGTTATAAATCCTCAAGGCCCATTCCCAATATCCCACTTCCTCCAGTAAACCTCCACCTCTTAAAGGTTACTTAACCTTCCCCAGAAGTACCACCAACTGGAGATCGCAAGTTCAAACACTTCAGTCCACTGGGAACATTTCACATGCAAACCACTACATTGTTTATGCACAGTAAGTCTTAAGACTAACCAAATAGTATGTTTAATTCTCTGTTCATTTAATGTATACATGTGAAAGATTCCTCTAAGAGTAAGCTATAGTAGGTGGGTCAGGAAGTAAAACCCATGACTCATACCTTAAGCTTGGAAATTTATAAATAAAAGCAGTTTGTTTTTTAAATTATGTTGGGTTTTATAAAAGTTAAAATTCCTTATGAACTCACTGGATGTGGCACCTCATGCCTGCAGTTCCAATATTCAGGAGACTGAAGCATGAAGATCATGAGGTTGAAGCCAGTCCTGGCTCTATAATGAGTTCTAGGCCAGTGTGCGTCACATGGTAGAATTATGCTAAAACAAACAATGCCAAACTCTTCATGAATTCAACAGTGGTATTTTGTGTATGCTCTGAGATCACAGTGAGAAGAGAGCTTGTCTCATAAAGTATTGGGTTAACCTTGAAGAAGATAGCCATGATTTTTCAAAAGCCCATTTTCATAACCTGGAAGTTGGCACATTCTGCATTTGTTAGCAGACTGTTTCTAGACGAGCCTTTGTGGGTAGGAACTAGAGGGAGCTATAGGTCTTGTCTGGCTTGTTTATGGGGTCGCAGGATGGGGTGGAGTAGTTGCTTCTTTCTAAATTTAGTTTTGGCTTTGAATATGTTTTTCCCATAAAAATGATTTTACAGATGACATTTCAGTACCAAAAGTCAATCTACAAAATTGTATAAAGCCAAAATATAACATATGTACATAGTTGGTAATCAATTTAGCCCTGTGAGTCTCTCAACCTCAGGATAAGTCAGTGCAACACTGTGAGCACTGGTAGGTCATGGGAATAGTTGGTTGAAGAAAATTGTGTATATTTTGAAAGGTTCATAGTAGAATGCCCTTTGTTAATAATAGAGGATTATATGGACTGTCAATTATCTCAATTAAGCTGTTAAAAATAATGAAGAGAGAATAATCAAAGCATACTGTTCTTTCCCCTGTTTGCATGGCCATATTAAAATTCTTTTAGAGTGTATGATTCAGGGTATTTTAGTATATTCACAGGGTTGTACAATGATGACCACTGTTTTAGCATCTATAAAAGAAATTTGTACTTATCAAGAATCCAATTCTATTTTTTTATGTATGTGCCAGCCCTAAGCAACCACCAGTATATCTCCATAAAGTCTTCCATGTTTTACATTTTGCATAAAAGGAAACACTCACTATGTCATTCATACCTAATGAAAGTGAGTTTTTTTTTATTTATTGAGAATTTCATGCAAGTATCCAATGTATTTTTATCTAATTCACCACCAAATACATCCCCTTTAACTTCTGTCATATCCTTGGCACCCACTTTGCCCAACTACATTTTTTTAACCCTCCGAGTTCAATCAGTGCTGCTAGTGAATGGCCTTACCCCCATGCATATACTGGCAGCATTAAAGAAATTTTAAAGTAGAACTAATGAGTCTTTATCTAGAAAACATCCACCAAGAAATACTTTCTGTGCTTTACACTGTATATCCAGAGTGATAGAAACATCCATAATGAATTTAGTTGAAAATGAAAAAGTGAATGTTTTATGAGTAACAAGAGGAAATAGAGACTTATATATTTGGGTCTGTTAAGGAAGAGCAACCTCCAGATGGAGAGAAGGGTAATGTGATGGTGTGATTCTCTGTAGAGTTTTAGGGATTGCAAAGAAAAGCTTGTGACCTGAAGGACTCTTTGATAGGAACATTAGAACTTCAAAATAACAGAGAGAAAGTCAGTCAGAATTTAAGAAGTAGAAAAATGGAGTTTGATTACTGAGAAGATTAAATGAGATAAGTACTCCAGAGAGCATTTGTCACAAAGTCCCTTATGGAATCTTTAAGTTATTTTTACTTCTTTTGAAGCATAGAATAATAAGACCATTACTGAGCAAAGCAGGAGAAGTACTTTGAAAGCCAGTTGTTATTACTAAATGACTATATGGAGGTAAAGTGGGTAAGGAATTTAAGAACCATGAAACCAAAGAATAATGAATATGAATTTTGATATTAACAAAACTAGTCATGGAAAGACATAACAATGGCATTTTAAAGTTTTTGGCTTGCAAGATATAGTAAACAAATCTTTGGTTATATGAAAAAAATCAAATTGTAGCAGATCCTGAGGTTTGAAATGTGGACACATTGACTCTGCTCAGTATCAGTGAGAGTTGGAATTCATCCCGCTTTTTGGGTTTCTTTTACATTCATAAAAATTGTATGTGTGGTTCCTTATGTCAGATTGTCCTGGTTTGATTTCTGATGCTACGATTTTGACCAAAAGCAGCTTAGGGGAAGAAAGGAATTATGTGACTTATACTTCCTGGTCACAGTCTCTCCTCAAGAGAATTCAGGGTAAGAAAATCAAGGCAGGAACTTGAAGCAGAAACCAAGAAGGAATTCAGTTTTCTCATTTACTCTTTGTCTTGCTAACAGGCTTTTGCTAGCTAGCTTTCTTATACAACCTGGACTAACTGCCATGAAGTGGCATTGCCCACAGTGGGCTGGGTCCTCCCTCCTACATCAATTAGCAATCAAGACAATGTCCAAGAGATATCCACAGACCTGTTGATCTGGGCAATCTCCCAATTGAGATTTCTTTTTCCCAGGTGACTCTAGGTTGTATCAAATTGACAATAAAAACTGACTGTTTACTTTAGGAGTGGCATGGTGAGTACCAAATGAAGCTTATTCATTCTTCGTATCAAAGGATTTATAGGATATATTTTAGGGGAAAAGCTTAAGGATCCAATTTCTGTATGACATTGTAGTTGTTGGGTTGGAATCAGTGTTGGGCCTTGAGCCTACTTGCAAGCTCATCTCTGAGAGAGGACTTCTTAAAGAATAAGTTAAAAAGATAGATAACATTGTGTATAAAAGAAACTGAACAGAAAGTCAGGGTATGAAACCACGTGGTGCAGATGATTGTAAGCAGAGAAATAGAAGCAGGGTATACCTAAAGAGAGTGAGTGAGCAGGAGTGAAGTGGGTGCTGTTTCACGGAGACCAGTCTTGGGAAGTTTATCTTGGAGAACTATACAAGAATGCTGTAAGAACTTTGAAGTTTATCCCTGTTGTTCTGCGATGATTGCAAGGAGAATGAAGGTGGATACTATGTAAAGTTTAGTACGGAATAAATAGCATATATTGTGAAATCGTACAAAGCTGAGTCATACAGTTATTTAACTTGTCTATACTGAGTTTTTAATCTCTGCAATACAAAGCTAATAATGCCTATTTTATAGCTTTTGTAGAATCCTCTAGTTCATAAAAGGTTCATCAAAAACAAAGCACTCTGTGGAAACTATCCATCTGCCCACCTCCCTCCAATGCTAGAGATTGAGTTCAGGACCTTGCTTTAGCTCTGTCATTATATCCTGTTACACCCCCAAGCCCTAAAGATTTCTTTTAACTGTTTTCATGTGTCCCATTTTGTTTCTGAGTGGTTATTTAGGTTATGTCTTTTTTTTTAAGGTGATTATTTTTATTTTTTACTTACATTATACCATTTCCACTTTCCCTTTTCCCCCTCCAAACAACTCTCATATACAACTTTCACCTTGCTCTCACTCAAATTCATGGCCTCTTTTTCTTTAATTGTTCAATTTAATTTAATTGTTTAATTTAATTTTTTACTTTAATTGTTCAGAATGCTGAAGGTAGTCTTACTAGCGAAGGGCATTCTTTAGGTGCCTGTAGTTTCTTATATTTTTAGTCTAGGATTGAAGCTCCAGAACCTTTCCCCTTCTACATTAACATGTTCATTGGTGTCCCTGCTGTTCTTGCTTGTCCCTTTGATTTGCAAATTACCCTTTTTTTCTTAGTTAAAGAAAATGTTAAATAAAACTTTCTTTTTTAATTTTAAAGAATTCCCAAGTCAAAACAAACAAACAAACAAACAAAACAAAACAAAAAAGAATTCCCAAGCCATTGTTCCTTTCTGTCCTGCTGCTTTTTGTAACTGAGTTAGAATTTTTTTAGTTACCCTATGAAAGGCAAAGGCACATAAACAAGATTTTTCTTAAATCACCTTTCTCTTTAAAATGGTAAGCGCTGTCTTAGGATGAACTAACCAGTGTGCAGCACTGTTACACTGCTGTGACTGTCTCACCTATGCTTTGGTTATCTTAACTACAGAGTAAAGTTCTTGACACAGCAACTCTAAAAAATGTTATTTTACTTGCCTTTACCTCGTGTGCTGATAGACTAGTAAATTCTTATTCGATGACTGTTTTGGAAATGGTTTGAAGTAGCATGTTATCTATAAGAATTTTGCTCACAAAACATTCTGTGAGTGGCAGTGTCTCAGAATCTGAGCAGACAGTTACATGAAAGAACACGATTGCTGGGGACTTGACTGCTTGTCTTACTATGGAGGAAGTACCAGGGGTCTACCCTGTTTGCAGTGTATTAAGCCTCCACATTTGTTTCTGTCATATAAATACTTCTTTGGTTATGTAGGAGTGTTGGTCACAGGATCAGAGGATACCTACAGAGTCCTCCATGGTTTAAGCAGCTGGCATCAACACAAGAATCCCTCAGCATAATCTCTGGGTGGTCCCTCTTAAGAAATCCAAACATTCATGAT